TGCATTGCTGATGATTAAACTTTGTATATTGTCAAATTTCATCTTAGATATTACAAGAGGTCTGCAGAGGTCCACGTTTTTGGAGACATTTTAGCTTAAAGTTTGAAATATAGACAAAGAATTTAGATAGTAATATGGCAGTGTGGAGTTTCTTGCCAAAAATGTTTAGCAAGAAATTTGTCGCTGCATTTGGTGACCTGAGGGCGTATATAAGAATAGTTCCGAAATTTCTAAATTTGTTTTAATAATTTTGTTTGCCTCTACTGTGGAATTGGGTGCTCCTTTGACTTTTTTTAAGGACAGGCATCCCATATACGCATTCCTTAAGAACGTCTCTAACAGCCGGGCATCTCATCCACGCATCACTAGAGATTGCATTCAGAGGACCGGTGATGCGTATATGCATTTTAAGCTGGAACTTTTTTCTGAAGACCACTAGATGGCATCCTATGTCCATTACTTTTAAAATAAACAGTTTTAAGTTCCTGACCTTGAGTTTGATATTTTACTCGTCAGCTCTTGCGAGGGGGGGAGGGAAAGTGTAAACAGTTGCGAGCTCTTTAAATCGCTGCATACTGATGAAAACTTGCGTGTCTGATTTATATCCAATTCCTTTTTTATTCTATTTTGTCCTTTACTATGTACGGTCTTTTAGGGTTAGTATGTGGAGTACTGTTACATTTTGCATTGCCCTTCAGATATATTTCCGTTTCTTTTCTTTTTATTTCGGAAAGCCTCACTTCCAGTCCATTATGGCGGAAAGGCACTATTTATCAGAAGAAGAATACTCTCGTATGGTCAATGAACCATTAATTAATGCAGATGAGAGTGATGATTCATTTTCTAAACAGTTAGAAAGTGATACTTCTCTGTGTTTCGAGATTTACCACAGTCTTAATTTTAAATTTTGTTACTTCTTAACTGTAAATAGTCTTTATTGTGTTGTTTTAATAATTTAAAATTTTATTGATGGATTTTATATTATAATTATTGATGGAATAATTTGAATAGTGCTTCCGAAAATTATTTTACAAGATAAGCAATTTTTTAAGTATATTTTCATGTAAAATAAAAAAACATTATTAAGTGTTAACTTTAACATATATAAGAGCTCAAGTAATAATCCAAAATGATACAAAAACTTACGAAGCTAGAAGCGAAACTTTTTTTTTCTTTATAAAATTAGGCTTAGCGATGCAAAACCTCCGTTCTGTATGGTGACTGCCTTCGATTACCTACCGTCCGACATGAGCGTCTTAAACAAAGGTGCGCCATCGCGAAAAGGTTAAGTGAAAATATATCGAGTGTTCATAGAACAAGTGAAGGGAGCGTGCAATGCTAAATTTGTGCAACTCTGGGATTTTTTTTAAGTGAAAATAGGTCAATGTGTACATGGATATAGAGTTTGTGCAATTCTTTGTCTTGTTATTTTGGCTTTGGGTGCCACTACACAAACCAAAATAACAAGTCAAAGAATTTCACAAACTCGGTATCCATGTGCTACCAAAAAACACCAGTTTTTGCCAAGGGGTACTCGTAAATATACTTTTACCATCCAAATTATATCATGAAATACAGTAATGATACACTTGACATACTTTTGATTTTTTAAAATCTACTTTCCCTGGCATTCATTTTAGTTAATTTGAGCATGACAAAGCATTCAAATGCCATCTCCCTAAGGGTAGGATGCTTTTCTGGAGGACTTTCTAAGGAAATCTGGCTTGTACCCATTTGCACATGGAGAAAACCATAAAAACTTTCATGCTATCAGGAATTCTGTTCGCCGGGACTGAACTATGAACGTTCAAGGATTATACCAGTCAGCCTCTGATGAGCTTCTTTGGCATTCAATTCTATTTTTTGCTTACATTTTCTACTTTAAAAAACTTCACAACACTTCGGTTAATTCTTGATTTTTGCCTAATACCACATAGATGATATCAAGCCTTTTTGTAAATTACAAAAGAAAGAAAAATTTTTTTTTTTTTTTTTTTTCCTTTCCGGACATTCAAATGTATCTGCAAAACAAACAATACTAAAAGCAATGCAGATCCATCTCAAATTCTGGATGATACATATGAGAGATTAGTTATAAATTTTAACGCAGTGCTAAAATTTTAAAAATTTTAAATTGCAATAAACCATTATTTATTCAAGTTGCCAAGATATTTTATATTTTGAATGTTTCAGTGACAAGTATCATCAAAATTATTCATATAAAATTTTTCATACTTCCTGATTATCCCCTTCCCCATCGAAAAGTATTTATGAGGCAAAGCAATGTGTCACCAAAATCGATATGTGGTAACCCACGGTGCTGCTAAAAATTATTCATGTGACAACCCACATATGCATTCAACACATATCCATTTCAGTTGGTGCACAATGCTGAAGTTGTACAGATGACAATAATGTGCAATTCGGACATTTTTTAAGTGAAAAATTGTTCTGTGCATGGGATGAGTAAAAGCACAAAAAGGAGAACTTCTTGAAAACAGTGTTTTTTTGCTTTTATTTTATTGGTCTTTGTATGGAATTCTCAGTATGCCTATTCATCCCCCTCTCCCTTTTTTTTTTTTTTTTTTTTTTTTTTTTTGCTAGTTTTTATTCTAGAGAATTGATAGGGGAAAACAGCCTAGAGCATTTCTGACAGAACAGATTAAATGAAGAGTTTAGCATATTATAACATAATTGGATGTACTATTATAGTCCATACTTTGAAGACATAGATTAGTTATTTAATAATATTCATTTTACATCATGACATACCATTATTATTTTTCTGTAATTTAAATGCAATAACTAAAAATCAGAATATTTTGAACTGTATGCAGAAAGGCTACAGAAGAATACAACATTATATATGAAATTTACTGAAGAATATGAACAAATTTTACCACCGTAAGAATTTTTTTTTTTAAACTTTACCAAGTATTGCCTAATTTTAAAAGCTCTAAAAATAATTCTTTTTAGAAACTGAATATTAAGAGTTAGAACAGCTTTCATACATAACTCTCAGATGATAGTAGTAGTAGGGAGAAAGTGGAGAAAAGAATAGCCTGCTGCTAAAATAGAATATATATTTGTTTTCATTTACCAATTTAGGGGAAAGTGCAGAATCGCCCACTGCTTGGCGTGTTTTTAAGAATTGCACATGCTTGGTATCCATGTACACATCGGCCTATTTTCACTTAAAAAAAATCCCAGAATTGCACAAAAATGGCACTGTGCACTCCCTTGACTTTATCCATGTACACATTGACCTATTTTCACTTAAAGAGTCAAAGAAAATTTTAAAAAATCCAATTCTTCTTACTCTTGTAAAAAGCGCCAAACAAATAAGTGGGCGATTCTGCACTTTAGCCGAAATTTATGTGTCACTTAAAATTTAAACAACATATTTCCCATGTTTATTAAAATACAAGTTCTATTTTTTATAATTATCCAATAAGGAAGATAGAATAAAAATTTAAGCACTGAACTAAATAAAATTTTACATTTTACCTAAAAGAAATATGCAATACACAAGAAAAGAAATATTCTGCTCTAGTGTAGAACTGGGCGCCCCTTCGATTAACGACAATTTTCTCTAAAATTTTTGCGAGGAAATTTCATTTCTGGTTAACATGATCGTTTAACTTTGCTTTAGCCTCCTGATTTTTTTTTTAATAAAAATAGATTGATGTGTACATGGACAAATTTAAAGCAGTTTGTGCAATGCCTAGTTTGTGCAATTCTGGGATGTTTTTTTAAGTGAAAACAGATCGATGTGTATATGGACACAGAGTTTGTGCAATTCTTTGACTTCTTATTTTGGTTTTGTTTAGTGGCCATCTTGAAATTGTGTCTTCCTGGTGCCGATCTTGACATCAAAAAAGAATCGCCAAAAAACAAGGGGCACCTAATTGTAAACTTTTACTTCCTCACTGCAGAAGCAAATACATAAAATCCTCAAAGCCAAAATATTAAAATATTTCAGATATAAAATATGCATACACTAGAGGAATCTAATAAAATAATCACAGTTTTTAATTACATATGCAAATCATCTTCAGTTGGCTGTGATTTAAAAGCCCAATAAAATGGTTTCAGAATGAAAGTTCTCTTCCCCAACCCATTTGATCCATTTAAAATTCTCCTGAATATTAATTAAAACAGACTGCTTAATAGAAAACTGAATTAGTCATACCAGCGAAAGTATTAATTTTAATATACTTTTAACAAAATAAAAATGTTTCCCATATAATTAAAAATTAAGAAAAATATTACTCTAGAGCAGAAACTGCAAGAGCTGGCAAAATTAGTGCTTTCATGTCTTCTTTCATACAAAAGCTTATTTTCTACTACAAGTTCCTTAAATGCTTTGTAATTAAGTTAAAATATTCAAGATTCTAATCAAAATACTAATGTATTTTAAAAGTTTGATTCAGTGTACCAGTAATATATTAAAATTGCATATAAAACTAACAACTGAAGATAATATAAAAAAGGCAGTTTATTTTAAATAATTATACATGAATTAATGAATAATTAATAATGCAAATTTTGTATAAGGGCTCTGTAGATGTGCAATACAAGAAAGCAAAAACTATGAATTACAGTTTAATGGATACTAAAATTCAATAATAAATTTATTACTTTCAAAAATGAAATCATGGGCATGATAGAGCTTGTTCTAAATACCTCAGCCAAATCTTTTGTAAAATATATTTTGTTTAAGAGAGTTTAGACACATTTATCTCTTTAACATCAGCATTTAAACGGCCATATAAATATCTCTAATACAGAAAAGTTATATTAAAAATAGTTATGGAATAAGGGTACAGAATAATTCTAATTAATTCAATTTCTGTAACACATTAAATTTCATAGTTTTAAACCTATATTCGCATAATGAAAACAGCAATATGAGTAATTTAAAGTGCAAAATGACATAAAAGAAAAGCCACGAGATTAACGGTTCATTTTATTCGTATAAACACAAAACAGTATTTTACCTTACTTTCCTTGAAACCAAATTTTGGAAAGTGTTCTGTATTACTCACGTTATTAAACTTTTACGAATGAACAACTTTCACGTCAGCAGGAGCCATCTACATCAATGGATATTAGAGACCGTAAGTAGAAAATTAGCTAAAGCTTAGCTTTTAGGCATTGAAATTACTCCCAATGTTTGATTACACACTTTTAAAACGAAAGCATAAGGCCAAAGAAGTCAAAAATACCACATTTTTAAGCTCCGGTATCCTCCCACTAAAAATTAGCTACCTCTCACCGCAATTTGAAAACAGGATGTTGCCACAAACTATTACTAAAAATTAAATGCTTCCTTCGAATGTTACCGTCTTTGTTCAATAAATAATTCCTACGCTAAACTGAAATTGAAGCTGAGATTTAGGTCAGAATTATAAGCATCTCATTTTGCTTAAAAATAGTAACAAAGCAAGAATAAATGTGACATTTTTATGACTTTTGGCTTTTTATTCTACCTAAGCATTATTTCTCACCTTCGCTCAGTATATCATTAGTGACATTTGCTTAGCTGTTCAATGAGCTTAAAATGCCAACGTTATTTGCTGGATAACGGACGGTTCTGAAATATAACATTTTAGAACACACGATTTGGGAAATTTATATCATCACGAACAGGAAACAAAGCAAGATACCATAGCACTCTACCAGAAATTTCAGCTTTATTATTTTGGATTATTTCAAATGGCGGAAAAGGAATTTCCCCGCATTAACTTCGGACAGAGTCGTAGCTTGGGTTTTCAGCGGCCAGGGACAACTGAAGATTTCGCGCACCCTACTGCTTGCCAAGGATGGAAAGCATTTAATTCTAAAATGTCGTAACATCAGTTTGGCGCTCCTTGGATTCTGCGCCCGGGGACAGATGCCCCCTTGCCCCCTCTAGCTACGCCCCTGACTTCGGATGATTCTAGAGCGGTTGCTCATCACCTCGTAGCGGGACTGTCGAACGAAAAATTAGATAACGACTGGAACGAAATACTACTAAAAGATACGATTAATAATAAGGAATATTTGAAACTTCTGAATTATGTGACCATAATCCGTACTGAAAATCAAAACGCGGATGGTATGTTCGCTGTTTTCAAACCAAACTAAATGCCTGCTAACATGGACCACTACAGAAGGAAAAGGGCATTCTGCGAAGGATTACTCACATTATTCGAAGGTAAGTGTAAAGCATTCGGTGAAGTACAATCTGATTATGTTAAAACTGATAATAGTATTTTGCATGCTATGCCTAATAATATACCCCCGACTGATGGAAACCTCATTAATAATGCTAATTCTAATGATACTAAGGTTACGGATGATGATTGTATTATGTTTACGAATGAAAAATGTATTCCCAACCCAATAATTTCGGATACTGATGTAAATACTGTGACTTTCAAAACACTTATGCCTAAACGGCCGTCCAAAAAATTAAGCAAACGCCCCATAATAAAATATTTAGATGCTGATGGCTTCACTTCGCCCCAAGAAAACAGCCCGACCATCTAAGTTAATCAAAAAGTAACGTTGAAATCCCTCTAAGAAATAAATTCGACAATTTACCCAAAGATGTTGCAGATAATAACGAAAAAGTTAAGGAAACGGAAATTATTGATGTTTTCGCTCCAAAACTTAAGCCCATAGTGGCTAAGAATGATATCAAGTACTCAGAATTTCTAAAAAAATGAGACAGGAAACTGAATTAAACTTCGCGGGTAAGGTTTGGGGAGAATTCCTGAAATACTTCCCTAAAACTGAAGATGATCACATAGGTATTACTAACTATTTAGACCAACTAAAAGTGGATCACTACCTCATTACAAAGAATTATGAACGACTAGTAAAAGTTCGTAAGAGGTCTTCCGATAGATTGTTCCGTTAATGACATTCACGATGAACTATTTAATTTAGGATTTAAAGTGAGGAAAATAATCCAGATGCCTAGCCTAAAAACTAAGGCGCCCAAGCCATTATACCAAATCCAACTAGAAAATGTTTCAGGGGTAGAAAACATTTATGGCATCAAATACTTGTTACTTTTCTGTGTAGAATTTGTCGACTATAAAGTGAATGGAAGTGTTGTGCAGTGTTATAACTGCTAGCACTTCCATCAAAATTCGGATACTTGCAAACTCAGACCGCGTTGCGTCAACTGCGCCTGGCGATCATAAGACTTCTGAATGCATAGCTAAGAAACTTGATGTAGTAAAGTGCTGCTACTGTTTGGAAGAGGGACATACCGCCAATTTCAGGGGTTGTTCCAAGTTCCCTAAACCCAACAAAAACAATGCTAATCTTCACTCGAATAATGACAAAAATGCAATTACGAAACCCATAGAAATTAAATATTCTCAGGTCACTAATGGCATGTCTTATGCAAATATTACCGAAAACGGCAGCAGGGCTAATAGACATTCATCAAAACCAAGTAATTCAGATGTAAACAAAAATAATAGCAACAAATTTAACCTGTGTTCCCTGGGTGAAGTTTTCAAACTTTTTAAAGAAATAAGTAATCTGTTCAAAGGACGCTCACTAGCTAATATAATTATAAAAATTTCTGCCAAAATGCTAGAGATTCAATCAACGGAAAACTCAATCGACAAACTTTTTCTATTATTTAACGTATTTGAAGAAATATTTATGCAAAGTAATGTCAGCGTATAGCATTTCTTATATATAAGCTTTAAAAACTATTCTATATCTTGTTTGCATTATTATGTATGTATCTTGACAAATAACCTATTAAATTCTCGGCTGGTTACTGATTTTTCACTCTTGTATATTGCCATAGCTTATGATTCTCACCCCACTTATTTCAGTAAATTTATTTCCAATCTTAAAAGTGCAGTTATATTACCAGTGTCTTTATCTACAGTATTTACTTAACTAACTTAATTTAATGCCTAATTTTGTATCTCGCGGAATGTTTCTGTATTCCCTTTATCTCTCATGTATTAAGAAACTCTCTTACAGCATTTCAAGTCACCACCTCCAACAATTTCCCAGATGCTCTGGCATTTTCATCTTTCGATTGGTTTTACGCTTACTTTATTCTAAATTCCTAGCCATACTCGCAACTTCAAAATTTTTATCATTGCTTATATTATACTTTCCACTTTATGGTTTGCAAAATTAAAAAATATCCAAATTGTTTGAGAAGGGGTAGGGCCTTCGGCCCAGGTACCCTGGTGCTAACACCTTCTACCGCGAAACAGGAAACAAATATTTTTTAAAGAGGAACCAATTGAACATTGTGTTGAATGGAATGTTAAGTTGGTTCCTCTTTCAAAAATATTTATACGCGAACAGCTATTCCCTCCCCACACAGTTGCATATTGATAAGAAACGAACCCAACTAACTACTTGGTATGTGCATTCCATGATGAAAATAATTTTCAGTAATTTCTTTTCAAGGCTGCAAACTTTATCAGAACTGAAACACAATAAAGTCTCAAGCTGTAGTAACAAATAAAGAGTTTATAATTATTTACACGCGCACATATGTATTCTTATTTATGGGTCGAAGAAACGAAGAAAACGTTCACAAATAAGGAAACGAAATTAGGCTGTTATTATTTATTCTCAAGTTTTGACCCACTTGGAAAATCTCTTCTCAAAACTTATAAAGTCTCCGAAATGTGTTAATTTTTAGTTTAAATAAAAGTAAATTATTTAATGATTAATTAAACATGCTAGAAATATTTGGAAGGAATATAAATCTAAGAATTCAACATTTAACTGTCAGTGTGTCCGAACTACAAAGTGTAACCGTTAAATATCTCTTGCAAGTATCAAACTAGATTTCAAATAAAAAATAAATAGAAATTTGAGTTTTTTTTTCCTTTATGATATTATTATTATTATTATTATTATTCAAGTGATATTTTCATAAATATTTAGTAAGCGAAATTTAAAATTTATTAAAAATATTTTTTAATTTGTTAATAAATTTTTCATTAAAAAAATTCTGACCATCAGAGCCGCGTGCACAATTCCAGATTGTGCACGCGGCTCTCACGTAATTTGCTTTTCTCACCCCAGGTCTAACTTAGTCAAAACATAGTTGAATCGAAACGACACAAAAACTTTCGAAAATAATGAATAAGTCCGAAATTGAATGAATGTGAAAATCTGAATGCTTTTTAAAAGAGGTCACCCTTTTATAAATTCTTTAGAGTTAAACAACATATTTCATAGTGACTCGTGAAAACAAGTGGCCTAAATATATTGCAATAAAAAAATGAAATGTCAAAAAATTTTTTTGTTCTGAGCATCTGCGTTCACTGAGAGAGTATATCAATTAAAATTCATATCGAAACAAATTACTGATCTATCCTTCCTCCTCCCCCCCCAAAGGAAATATCAAAGATTCCAATAAATAGCGGTTGATTGTGTACGTCTTATTGCTATTTTATGAGGAAATTAACTCCTTTATGTTAAAAATATTCCAGAAGCTAATTTTGAAATTGGAAACATAGGGTTATTCATGAGATATTTTATGAGTATTAATTATAATTTCATGCTCTCGTAAGTAGCTTTTGTTTTTAGTATATGTCATGCATTTAAATAAATTTCGTCTATCCTATCAAATGATTTAAGTAATTTCAAAATAAAAACACATTTTATTAAAATAATTTGAATGAAAAAATAAAAATTTATACGTAAAAAGTAGTAATTAAAACAAAAATTATTATTATTTTTTTCAATTACAGAAATCACTTTATTTCCTTTACATGTAAAAATTTCAAACTACTGCATTTTTTTATGAAGCCGCATGATATCGCAAACTAGGCTCTACTTAATACTATGCTACAATCAAAAGATAAAAGAGAACTAAAATCGGAAGATCACTATTTATTTTAATACATGTATTATTCCAAGTACGAATGTCATAAGCATTGTTTAGGGATTGTACTGCCTGAGACGTGCAAAAATTGTTGCATGCGTGCGGGCTGGTAATGGATTGAACGGTACAGAATCGATGATAGCTTGATACAATTTATTTTCACACACACACACACACACAAAAAAAAAATCTTAGTGCTATAATTTTCCACAAAAAAATTCGTGCAGTTCTTCTCAGTATGATAGAGCACAATCAGTAGTTACCGGTTTAACTTCCAAGAACGTTAAACAGGATGCAATGCAAATCGCATGTAAAGAGCGATGCTCGCACGGAGATCTAACCCTGAAGGCTCAGGTGCTGGGCACTTCTTCAGGCGCCTCGGCTGGGAAAGCCGCATCCTGTGTCTATCACGTGTGA